CTCCACAGTTACAGTTCCCTTGTCCCCTGTGTACCCTCTCACACTCACGCCATCCTGGAGTCAGCCCCTGCCTCCCCACCCATCCCCACCCCAGCAGGCCCAGAGCTGCCTCCTCACCACACCACCATGCAGCACAGTGAGATGTGCCGGAGCCGTGGTGTCCGGAACAGGTCCAGGTATGAAGGTCTTCGGACCACACGCTCCCCAGCGGCCACTTTGCTCAGGGTCTGATGGGGGAGGAGGAGCGTTTGTGACATAGAGTTGACTCTGTGGTCCTAGCAAAGCACATTGCTCCCTCTGGGTCTCTCTTCCTCCCTTCTGCATTATTGGGGTGAGGGGATGCACCTGGGAGCTGAGTAGGTTAAGCAGAGTCAAGGGTATGGCCCACCAGAGCCAGGTAGGACATCCTGGGGGAGCGCTCCACTTAGGCAGTGGGCCCCAGGAAGGGGGTGCTTGACACAGGTCACGTATATTTACACACACACACACACATGCATTTACATGTACTTACATGCACTCACACACAAGTTCATACTCACCTCCAGGCTCAGGCTGTCACCCACAGACCGTCCATTGAGCCTGGCACAGCAGAGCAGGTACCTGCGGGCCTCCTCCACGTGGCCCTGGGTCAAAAGCCAGCGTGCAGACTCAGGCACCCACCTGGGGAAGAGCAGGAGGTCCTTTACTCAGTTAGCACCCTAAGCCATGCCTCCCTCCTGGGCACACCTCAGTCTGTCAGCCTCCAGGTTCTTGCTCACGCAGTCCTCTCAGCATGGAAGTTCTTCCAAAGCCCTCCTCACCTGACTCATCCTTTAAGGCCTAATTTTAAAGCCACCTTTTCCCACCCTTCTTTGCCCAGGCCTAGGTCCTCCATAGCCTGGGAGTCCCTTCTCTACTCAATTGAATTGGTCTGACCCCCAAGACTCCAGCACCAGCCACCCACTTCTCCCACAGGTAACAGGAAGGCATAGGGTGAAGGAGAGACAGACATACAGACATACCCAGAGGGTCCATCCAAAGCCAGTTCATTTGGGGGTAGGCAGTGAAATGCCCACCCTGCCTGGCCTCCCAGCCTCCTGCTTAGATATTCTACCCCCATGCTGACCCTGTCCTTAGCCCCACCCCTTCAGAGTGCCAGCCTTAGTTTGTGCTCTGCGTTGTCCCTCATGTTGCTCATGTGTCCGTCTCCATCTGTCCCTCTGAACCTGCCTTTCGGTTCTGGCCTCTGTCACTCACCATCTCTCACTGGTTCTCCATCTCTATCTCTCTATATTTTGTTCTCTGTTTCTCTGCACCTCATGAACTGCTCTCTCTCTCTCTCTCTCTCTCTCTCTCTCTCTCTCTCTCTCATTAAACATTTCTCTTTCTCTTCGTCTCGGTCTCTGTCTTCAGATCTCAGCTTCTGATTAATTCTGTTGGGTTATCGGAAAAGTCATGATGTATTTTTTCTGTTTTTCGTCGCAAAAATGCGTCATGACTTTTCCGACAACCCAGTATCTCTGGCTTCCTGTATCTCTCACTCCCCAGCTGTCCACAGGTCTCACCAGAGGCTGAGGATGCCTGGGGCACAAGGCAGGGTGACAGTCACCAGAAGCCATCGCCAGTCCCGTATCAGGTACCCGACCAGTGCCAGCAGCATCACGCCCACTGTCCAGAAGATGCTGCTCAGGACACCTGCCACGGTACGGTGTCCCACGTCCAGCCATTCCATCTCTGGGCCCACAGCAGGGGCCGGAGACAAGAAGACTGTTAGCAGGGGCCAGATGGGCTCAGCCTCGCCCTTGACAAAACTGCCTCCCTCCAGCCCTCTAGGCCCTGCCCTTCTGCCTGCCTCACCCAGTGTCATCACGATGATGGTGAAGCCAGCCAGGGCTGTGCCAGTGAGGGTGCGGGTGATGGCAAACATGACATAGCTGACCGAGGCTGCAGACGCCAGGCCCAACACCAGGGCACTCACATAGGCCACCAGCAGCAGACGGCGCCGCCCAAACCTGCACAGGTGTCATGCAGGGTCAACTCCCTGGAGAGGGGATGTCCCAAGACAGAGGTAGACTAGGCTCAGACCCCAGCTAGTGGGAGAGGGTTTCCCACCCCACTTCCTTATTGACCACCCCCCACCTCGCCCCACCTGTCAGACAGGTATCCGAAGGCCACGGCTCCCACCAGCACACCAGCGAAGAAGAAGGTGGAGGTGGCTCTGTTCAGGCCTTTCTGCTCACACACCAGGTCCCACTGCAGGGACAGGCAAGGGGGGCTTCCATGGGCACAGGCCCCTCTCCAGCTGACACCAGCTGACATCTTCTCCATACCCTGGGACCTTCTGAAGTCAACTGTGCCATCCTGGTACCTCCATGTCAGATAATGAACCCCCAGCCGTTCACCCCAGCTTGGGGGGTGGGAGACTTTGCCCTTCCCCAATCCTGCAGCCTCTGCTTCTTCCAATGGGGGGCCTTGACCGTGACAACAGGCGTCCTGTTCCTCTCCAAAAAGACTGACCCCACCTGCACTCACCTCCAGATGGATTATGGGGCCCAAAAGAGGAAGGAAGAGAAGGGGGCCTCTATTGTTTCTCCACCTCTTACTGTAGAAACACCCTTCTCAACTCTGGCCCCAACTCCCTGGAGCCGTCTAAGCCCTTCCCTGCCTTACTCACCTCCCAATGAATAATAGCAGTTCCCGGTGATGGGCTTCTTACTATAAGCTCAGTGCTTAACTTCATAGACCCCATCTACAGATGAGTAAACTGAGGCTCTAAGAGTTAAAGTAACATGTCTAATGCCCACATAGTAATCACCCAAGGCAATGGCAGGCCCATTCCACTCACGTTTCCCCCACCTTCCAGGCTCAGGTACCTCGGTTGCAATGGTGGAGGAGAACTCCGAGCGGTCGTACTCCCAGCCCTGAGGGCAGGGCACGGTGGAAGGCTCACTCTGCAGCTCTGCAGGACTTTGCCCCTCTCCCCGCAACGTAGTGTTGGGGGGAGACTGGGGGTGGGCGAAGGGGAGGCAGGAGCTGAGCGTGCCGTCAGGCTCCTGGGGAAGGTAGCCCTCCAGCCATGCATCCTGGTGGCTGAAGTTGGCAGGGATGCCAGGCAGGGCACAGCGGTGGGCAGGGACGGCAGCCAGGAAGATGGGCAGGAGGAAGTGCATGGGCAGTATCATGCGAGGCAGGGCCAGCAGGACTACATTCCGCAGTTGGAAAGGCCCAAAGCCGCCTACCTGGTCTAGCAGCTCCTCGAATCCCATGCTGCCCACCCGCCGACCGTCCCCAGAGCGGGCTCCCTCTGCAGTACCCGGCACAATTCAGCCCACTGTCCGCTTGGACCCTTGGACTCTGGAGGCGGGAGCGAATAGACAGACGGGCAGAGAACCTGCAGCCAGAATCCAGCCCTCAGGGGCTGGCCCAGGACTGGGTCCTCCGTGGCCGCCCAGGTCTCCAGGGATCGTGCCTGTCAGGGAGGGGCTGCCCTTCATTCAGAAGTCACTGACTCCATGTCTCTGGGACTTACATGTTAATGCTCAGGGACGAAGTGGGGTAGTCTTGGGCTGCCATGATGGGGTAGCTGGGTGTGTAGGAGATGAGCCCCTTGCCCCTTGATCAGCAGAGCTCCAAGGATCTCTAACAAGAGGAGTCCCCCTCGGGCATGGTGCCAGCTCACTCTGGATGCCCTTTGTCCTATGAAGCCTCAGGCGAACCTTGCCTATTTACAACCACAGCCTGGCTGGCAGCCCAGGATTCAAAAGCAGGTGAAGGGTTCTTTCTGCTGAGCCACGAGGCCTCTCTGTAGCCATAAGTCCCCACCTGGAGCTTATGCCCTGGCTTAAGACACATCTGGAACAACACTGGGCAGCCTGGCCAATCCGAGGATCCCAGACCCATCACCCTCCCACCTCTTCACTCAGGAGCTCATCCCATACACACAATCCCTTCTGCTTGCCCCCACCCCCCGCCCCATTCTCAGGAGCTTCTTAGATCATTACCCCTGCAGGGGTGGGTAGGGAAGGAGAGAGTTTGCCAAGCTCCTGCCATAGGTACCTGGCATGCCTAAAATTCAGGATTTGTCTGACCTTCCCCACTCAGTTCTCACTCATGGCCCCTGCAGCACACAAACACAGCAGAAGCCAGTAATGTCAGGCTTATTCTGATCTGATTCTCCAAACACTGGATTGGCAGAGCTGGGAGGTTGTCAAATTGTGTTCCAAAGGCTCCCGATTTCTAAGCATATAGGCATCTAAGGGGCCCAAGTTTTTTAAAAAGTTTGAGAACCACTAATTTAATCTAGCCACCACTTTGAACAGATAAGGAAATGGAGATGTGAGGCTTACTGAGTTCACACAGTGACCCAGCTGCAGAACTGAAGAGGGGACCAGGACCCCTGACCGTTGACCCAAGCTGCTGAACTGGAGATGTTCCCATCTGCACTAGGCTGGGCTCCCTGAGAAAGCTCTGGGAAGGGAGCTAAATTGGTGACATGGCATGTGTTCATGATGGTGCTAATAGGGGTTGAGGACAGTGATTTGGAGGTGGTGACAGGAAAGGATGATCGTAAGAGATATCTGTTGCGTCTCTAGTGCCGCCTAAGCATTCTGTAAGGGACAAAGATGCCTCAGACACAACCCCTGCCCTCAGTGAGTGTACAGTCTAGCAGGGGGGTTAAAACAAGTTACATACACCTTCCTTCCTCCAGTCTCACCCCTTTCAACCTGCTCTGCACATCGACATTTTAAAACATAAATCTGACAGGATAATATCTGACAGGAAGGAAATCTGTTTCAGATCCTTCACCAGCTCCCACTGCTGGAGGGTAAAAGTCCACCTCCCTAGCTTGGCTTGCTTCATATGACCCCCCAAGACTGGCTCCTCTCCCCCCTGCCCCTGGCCTCTCCCCACCATGCACCCTTCCCTCCAGTTCCCCAAACACACCAGCCTGTTGGCACCTCACACCTCAGTGCAGTTCCTTGGGCGGCACTGGTCTCCCTTTAATTCACCTGATGGTGCCCGTGCCACCCTGGAGACCAGCTCAAGGGTGAGACAACTCCTGTCCCTCTTGCTCTCACCCACATGCAATCCCTACACTGTTGATTCCTCCCTCATTTGATACTATATAGTCATATTATTTATATAAAAATATAGAGTGGCTCAGTTGGTTAAGAGCTCGCTCAAGAGTTTGAGCTCTGAGCAACAGCAGTTCAATTCCCGGCCTGAGCTGAGCTGTCGCTGAGCTGCCAACAGGTGGCAGGATGGCTCAGCTAAAAAAATAAATAAATAAAAATAAATAAATAAATAAATAAATAAATATATAATGCCATAACCCTTTCAGCTCCTGAGAAGTAAGTTTCGCAGCCATCTCATCTCCATGGTCCATCCAGTGGCTCCATGAGGGAATATTCAGGTTTTCCCACAGATGGAGAGAACAACAGCCAGTGAGGCCAACCCTGGGCGTTGGCTGTGGCACCCTTGTTTTCACATGGGAATTTGTCTCCTGCTGGTAGCCATACAGTGGTCACCTCTCCCTGCTTGCACTGATGTCTAGGAAACCCAGATCTAAACCTGCAGCCCCTTTCTACAAAGAGTAATTTGGCACTAACTCGACCCCTGGCTTCACTGTATTCCCTGTCTTCAGCCCATATGGCAGCTCTCCTCTCTGATGTCGTTAAGGAGCGGTGGTGACAATGACCACGATGTGTGGAGGCAGATGATGGAGCCGGACAGGCAAGAGTCTAACCAGAGGGCAGATCAGCTCTGAATCACCAGTGAAGAACTGGTTTTGATTCAATTTTTAACTATCCTCCTCCATCAAACTACACATCCAATCCTGGGCTCAGAGCCAAAATGGAGGAGACCTTCATTTATATCAGACTAGATGGGAAAGAACCTTGTGCCCTGGAAAAATAACAACTCCTTAGTTGAAATTATTACTAGAACCGTTGAAGCATTTGGGGAAGAATAAGGTCCTAAGATAAATAATTTCCTATTTGGGAATGCTTCCAGTAGGACCTTAGGACTTTTTACCCTTTTACCCCTCTCTGCCTTGAGTGACCTCAGATGACCTCTCCATCTTAGTTGGGGTTTCACTGACCATTAATGATTGCTATAGCCCATGTAATCATTTCCTACATTGATGATGTGGTAATAATGGAATCAATTATAGTGGTAAGAATGATGACGGGATCGGTGTATGGAGGTGGGAATATTGATGGTAGAAATGATGGTGATGGGGGTGACTGGAGTAAGGATGAGGGGTATGGGGCTATGGACAGTGGTAATAGTGATGTGGCTATGAGGGCATTGGTGGTGACAAGGATTATGTAGTAGATGATACTGATGGTGGTGGTGGCAATTGGTAGTGGTGATGGTGAGAATGGTGGTGATAATAATGGTGTTGATGAGGCTGGTGGTGATAGCAGTGATGGTGGTGATGGTTGTCATACTGAAGATGTGTAAGCTCCCTGAGAGCAAGAATCTTGTTAATCATTATGTCATCAGAGCCTAGTGGTGGTGGCGGTGATGGTGGTGATGGAGCCTAGTTTGGGAGAACAGCATTTGTGATATGAGTGATGATGGTGCTGGTAATGGTGGATAATAGAATTAAAGGTGGGTAATGGAGATAGAGGTGATGATTGTGATAAAATTGATGGTGGTAGTAATGGGTGGTTTCTCACCACTTTGGGGTTAATAGTACATGGGATGAGAAGGAATACAGAAGATGCCACCGGGAGCTGATGAAAATGAAGTTGTATCATATTTTCCTCTGACCTATAGTAAAATTCCCATGACCTTTCAGACCTTCCTCCCCATCACCTCATCACCTTGGGCAATGACCAGCCTCCTGCTTCTGCTGAGGACTTAGAAGGTCATTCTGACCATCCTACCGTTTTGGGTTAGTCTCAGCTCTTGCCTTGGCCTTGACTCTTGAGTAGCCAATGGGAAAATCTCAGCAAGCCCCAGTGTCTGATGATCAGAGACACGACACCCTCCACACTCCCACCCTGGTCTCTTTTCTCCAGGATGTCCCCAAGGGGCCCCTCCAATGTCCCTGGTCCTGTGGCCTCTACCTAGCCCTTGACTGAGTAACCTTGCTCAAGCCACTTATTTCTCTGTGCCCCTGTCCTCAGAGCTCTCTTGGCCACAGGACAGAAAAGAGAAATATCTTTCTGGGGGAGTGGGGAAGAGGTCAGCAAGGGGCTGGGCAAGTCCTCACCTGTGGAGCATCAGGTAAGCCCTGACTGAGCCTCAGAGAGTGAGTGTGCCTGACAGGTCTCGAGCTCCTGGGGGAAGGTGTAGGGAGGGGTTCTGTGCAACCCTATAAAGCCATCCTCCTTGGCATAGCCTACCCCTGCCCCAGGCCTGGTCTGGCTCCCCTTCACTCCTCTCTCTACTACCCAATTCACACCTGTGACCACCACAGTTCTCACACCTCCACACCTTGCCCATGCTGCTTCCTGTGTGAGAACGTCCTCTCTTTATCTGGCCAACTCTTGTTTGTTCTTCAAAATTCAGCCTAGGAGTCATATGCATCTGAAGGCCCTCCCTGAAGCTCCCAGTCTGGTCTGGGAGTGCCTGCCTAAGCCTCGCAAGCTCCCAGTCTGGTCTGGGAGTCCCTGCCTAAGCCTCACGTATCAGCGCACGCAGCTCATGTAAAGTGAGCAGCTCATGTAAAGTGAAAGTTAATGTACAACTACCCCCTTCAGAGCTCACTGCGTATTGTCTCAATTCCGGGACAGTGTCCCGTGCCTGGCAGCCTCTGGGACGTGTGGGGCTCAGCATTAGCCTGCAGAATTAGTTGAATGAATGAATGAATGAAAGAATGTTAAATAGTGAATGAATGAGCCATGGCATTCATTCACTCATTCTCAATAATAAAATTAATTAAATATATCACAAGATACCATTTTTCATCTATTTGATTATTCTGGGGATTTCCCCTAGAATTAGACTTACAGAAGCAAGCAAAGATTGGAAGCAGGATGTTAATTTTGGCACTATTTGTAATAGTGAAAAGTTGGGGGGAAAAAACTAATGTAAAATCAACATGGAGCTGTTTAAATAAATTATGGAACATTATGCCATGGATTACTATGTAGCTATTAAAAAGAATATAAGGAGGGGCCGGCCGAGTGGCGC